TCATCCACCATTGTATATCCACCCGATCCTGCTGAGTTCTCTTGCATTGCAGTTTCCCGAGCTGAAACAAAACCGGGCTGGTTCCCCGCAGGTGCGACAGAACCATCAACACCTGATGGCATGGAAGTAATCGGAACATGTGTTAAACCAGGTGGTCCACTTGCATATCCACCACTTGCAGGACCTCCCGTGGGGTAATTCAATGGAGGCAATCTGGAGGGTTTCTTCCCTTCAGCTACATGCATCATTGGCACTTCTTTTTCATCCTCCACTTGAACATCCCCCTTCCTGGACCCAGGCAAGGATTGAAGATCACAACCCTTTGGCAGGTCGTAGCCCTCAATAGGCAGCCATGTCCCATCAGGCAACACAGTCCAAAAACCACCCATACCATCCGTGTAGAAAACTTGTCCTGGCAGGTACTGCTTCTCTGGAGTCATTCCTAGAGGATATGCCGTGTTTGCGTCCACCACTCCAGAGCTCCGTGCCCTTGAAGCTGACCCAGATGCAGCAGAGGTATAGCTTTTTTCCTCCACCCGATGCAACCTGTTCCCCAGCTCCTTTGTCTGCACAAGCAACTCTTTCAGCGCACGCTTCACCACCGCCATATCTTCAGATTGCTCTTCACCACTAACATCAGGAATGAGTTCTTCGTCGGCTTGCACTCCACCAATAGTACCTCGTTCCATTTGTCCCATTAAGCCTGACGATGGTCTCTCAACAGGTGCAGGTTCCTGACCCAAAAGATCTTGCAGCGAAGGCGGTCTTCTCGTACCTTCACCACTCCTGTCCCCTCCGCTCGCGGGAAGACTTGCCGGCCTTGACTGCCTAAGTCTCATTTCTTCTTGAGCCCGCTCGCTCCAGAAAGGATTTGCTGCTTGAACCGGAACCACTTCGTTTTCCACCTGAGGCGTTGGTTGTATCATTGCAACCTCCCTACCATCTGTCAGCGCTTGTACCATTTGTTGTCGATCTTCACCCCCATCACCACGATTTCCTTCGGCTTCATTGGCCGTTGGCGACAGTCCAGGCTCAGAGCGACGCCGCATCATGTCCATGGCGTTAAACAAACGAAAAATCTTTACCAACTCCGCAGGAAGCCTAATTTGGGCTCATAACCTACGGGGGGCAACCGAAGGAGGACAGGGAACAAAACAGTCAACCCCAACAGAAGCCCTTAATACCCCTGGAACAACCAACAACTGAACAGCAAGACCCCAAACCAAGGGCACACTTTTTACGAAACCTTCGACCGCTTTGGTCATGGCTTGAGCCAACTTGAGCCAACGATTATCGGGTTCATTGACCCTTTAACTTCCAATACCAACTCCTTTCTACAATACCAATTGCAGCTCCGCATAGGGTTTGATCTCTTAGCCAAGCCCTGAGAGGCCTCCAGCACCCCGGCTGCCTGGCCGGGGCCCTGCAGCCTTTGCGACTGTTCTTGCTTGCTTTGGGTTTCCGGGTTTAGGGTTAGGGTTTGGGGTTTAGGGTTTAGGGGGTTAGGGTTTAGGGTTTGGGGTTTAGGGTTTAGGGTTTAGGGTTTCGACTCTCACACTGGCGCACACGCTGGCGAGGCTCCGGACGAATCCAAGACAGAAGCTGCATCACATTAGGGTTTAGGGTTTAGGGTTTGGGGTTTAGGCTTTAGGGTTTAGGGTTTAGGGTTTAGGGTTTAGGGTTTAGGGTTTAGGGTTTAGGGTTTAGGGCTTAGGGTTTAGGGTTTAGGGTTTAGGGTTTAGGGTTTAGGGTTTAGGGTTTAGGGTTTAGGGTTTAGGGTTTAGGGTTTAGGGTTTAGGGTTTAGGGTTTAGGGTTTAGGGTTGGATTTCGGAAGACATTCGAAGGTCTAGGGGGATTCGGGGAGGGGGCCAAAGTTGAAGGTGGAATCACAGGGGCTTTCGGCTCTCACACTTGCACAAGGCAGGCAAGGATTCGGTCCGAAGGTCTGACATCTGAGGCCTGAGGCTATCAGGATTCCTGCAAACTCCATTTGCAGCAAGTGCTCACGGGGGCTGTAGGGATTTGCACTTTGTCCGGCATCTTTTGGGATTTAGGATGAAACCCTAAACCCTAAACCCTACGGCTGCGTCTCTGCGGCGCGCGCGTAGCTAGTGATCGCCGGCCGCGGGGCCCCGGTTTGCACCTCCCCAGCACTGGCAATGCTAAGCTTGCTTGGAGGTGCATGGGCAGCCACAAGCAGGCCCAGAAGTATGGTGGATACCTCTAACCCTACTTATACCTATCCTGATGCATGCGGCATTCGAAAGAAAATACACAATGTCTTCGTTTTAAGATATCATTCTGTGCATGTATGTCTGTTTTAGATGCAAACTGTGATGCAGATGTAGATGCACGTGAGGCAATGGGAGGCTTCGGGCTGAATCGTACCGAGGGGAGGAAAGGTCAAGAAAGCACCCAGATAGCCAAGCAGCCCGAGCGCCAAGGATGCAGCTATCCGCCTTATGAATTCTACGGCTCTGGTCATTATTACTTTGATGTAGGTTTTTTGGACCCTAAACCCAAACCCGAAACCCTAAACCCTAAACCGGAATCCTGATTTCGAGTCATGCCCCCCACACACCAAAGTGCACCGAGGTGTCTCAGCCTTTTCCTGTCGACTTCCACGCGTCAAAATGCGTCCCCGGGGCTTGGAGATAAAGGAGCTCATCTGGTCAGTTCTCCAAAGTGGGTGTAGGGTTTAGGGTTCAGGGTTTGGGGTTGAGGGTTTGGGGTTTAGGGTTTAGGGTTTCGCCTCTCACACTCGCACAAGGCAGGCAAGGGTTTCGGCTCTCACACTCGCACAAGGCAGGCAGGCAAGGGTTTAGGGTTTAGGGTTTAGGGTTTAGGGTTTAGGGTTTGGGGTTTGGGGTTTGGGGTTTGGGGTTTGGGGTTTGGGGTTTGGGGTTTGGGGTTTGGGGCTTGGGGCTTGGGGCTTGGGGCTTGGGGCTTGGGGCTTGGGGTTTGGGGTTTGGGGTTTGGGGTTTGGGGTTTGGGGTTTGGAGTTTGGGGTTTGGAGTTTGGGCTTTAGGCAGTCTGGCGCATCTCGGCGTTTTAGGGCTTTGGAGTCAGGATGAGTCTGAGCTAAGAGTGCTGCCTCACTGATGGCAACGAACAAGGGGCCATGGTTTTGGAGAACTGAGCGTCTGAAGCCCCCCCGTAACTCCCACTGTGGCCCAAAGGCTCAACAACTTTGAAGCTAGATGATGACAACTCGTATTGCGATCACTATGGTTATTCTGCCCATTTGCCATTTCTACAAGAATGATTGGCAAGATTATAAACACGATCGCTACTATCTTTACTGTGACTCGTTGTTGTTTTTGTCAGAAGTTCTTTCTGCCCTAAATGTGGCCTACCGGAATCCTCCGCTCCAATCCGGTGCTGTTGACATCAACAGCGCCACAAAATGTTTCGGAGCGAACTGCTGCCACGACAGAGCTGGGTTTAGGGTTTAGGGTTCGGGTTTAGGGTTAAATCTTACAGGGCTTAAGATCTGAGATGCAGGATGCAAGGTGCGAGGTTGGAAAGGAGCATCGTCTGGAAGCAGTGACTGTCAAGCGACATATTGGCACATATTGGCACCTTCTGGTGCTTTTTTCGGCAGCTTGAATCTAGACATCGGGCATCTGAAGCCCAGAGCATAAATCGAATGCCGAGCGGCCAAAGCTGGTTTGCAGATGGCCCCCGGGTGGCCAGATGAGTAACAGCGCAAGAACCCAAGATTGCACTTCAGCGTTCTTGCTGCAGGGTCCCCGCAACGTGCGAAACATCGAAACAATGACCTAAGACTCACATGCTCTTCTGCGGCACGGGGCCCGCGATGCCCTGGCCAAACTGCCAAAGGCCGGCGCCAAGCAAGGTTATGCTTCCCCACTACGCTAACACCAACGCCCTGGACTAAGACTCGTGCAGAAGATGCCGAGCCAGGTGTCCAGGCATCCAAATCATCGGGTAGAAGTGAACACAATGTGTCCAGGAACAGGCACTCAGGAAAATTTGTAACCACTCAATGAAATGGTCTAAGAACCCGGAAAATTGCACAGGTGATCTCTTGACCCAGAGTCGCAGAGGTCACCGATCGGATTGCATGTCAACCGTTCAACCGCTGACACGACATGAAACGACACTCCTCCAGAGCGCCTAAGTACTGCCTAGGGTGTAGGGTTGAGGGTTTAGGGAATGTTTGCAATGGACAGCTCAAAATAGCAAGACGCCAACTTAGCGAAGTCTGCTGAGTCCTTTTGCCGAAAACCAAACGGAGCAAACAGCTTAGCTAACTCTCCATCAACCACGGGTTGTGAACAAGCTTTCTAGTTCTGAGTAGGCAATGTGGGAATGAGGTACCTCCTGTACTGCTATATACGAAGAGACCATGTAGGGTACCTAATTCCCAATTCCCTACTGAGAACACAAGTTCTGCAACTGTCTGCAGAAGTTGGGCCCGGCCCGGAAGCGCACAGGCACAGACCAAGCCGACACATTTCGGGCGCTACATATACCTATACATATGCATATGCATATACCTATACTTACGTATATGTTTGTATACATATTTCTAAATATGAAATATGTGTGTATATATATATATCATTTATGCACATGAAAAATATAAATATATGTATATATATGTATATATATGTGTATATATATATATACATGTGTGTGTGCATATATCCACGCACCGTTTCTATGTGACAGTTTCATGATGGGTTATTCTGATGCATTGCATGTTGTCTTAGCAAAAGGCCAGGCTTCACGGGAGGTGCCTGCAGAGAAAGAAAAACCTTGCCTTCGGGCAGCTAGTGTGACAAAGCACTGGTCACCGCCAGATCAGCTGATGCTGATGGCCAAAATTGAAATGCCCGCGCCGTGAGGCTACGAGCTCGATGTTTTTTAAGAGCTAAACCCTAAACCCTGGGCCCTGCCACCTTGAGCCTTCGTCTGCGCATTGGGCGGCCTTGGCCTCCAGATCACCGTCTTCGTAAGGCCCAAGGCATCCTCACGCCATAGACCAGCTCAGTGAGTTGGCGCGGCCAGTGTTGAAGCTGCCTACTGTCTCACCTGTTTTCACATCAAAGACGTAGACGTAGCCATCCTGGCACGCTCCGGCCACCTTTGTCCCATCATAATTCCAGCTAAGATCCATGAAGTAGCTCAAATCCGCTGACTTCCAGATCAGCTTCCCTGACTCCGCATCGAAGAGCTGGACAGCCGTACCCGAGCATGAGCAGAATGCAATCAAGGTCTGATTGGGGCACCAGGCAATACAAGCTAAGTTGTCTTGTAAGCCCATCTGAAGCGCCGCATTGCACTGCTGAAGCTGCCATCGAGCCTCGCCCTCAAGGGTTAAGATGCGCAGGGCGCCCGTTGCATCCCCGCAGGCGAGAAGATGGCCTTCAGAGTGCCAATCTACGAGCTCCACACGACTGCCCAACAGCAGAATCTTCTCCTCTGCCCGCAGCTCGATGTCGAAAATTGCAATGCCATCACGCTGGGCCACCGCCAGGTGAGAACCAGCTGGGTGCCAAGCGACGCTAAGGGTCTCCGAGCGCTGTTCCAAGCGGAAGTCACTCAAGGGATTCAACACGCACACATCCACCTGTGTCGGCCCGGCCACCAGAGCAAGTTTGTTCCCGTCGGGACACCACTTGAAGGCATTTCTGCCACCTCTGCAGGCTCGGGTGAAGACCTCCTTTCCTTGGAAGAGGTCATGGATCCAGGCCATGTTCTGACTCCTTAGGGCAAGGTGCGCGGCATCTGTGGGGCTCCACTCAACATGATAGGGGCTCCTGCGGGTTGTCTTGGAGTAGTCCAACTGCGGCAGATACTGTGACTGAATTCTCAGGGTACTCCCGCTGGCTATCACTACTCGGCTCTCAACGACTGCGGCAATGGACCCCGGCGACAAGGCCACAAGGTTCACCGAGGTACCATGAAGGCTGGTCAGTGTGGAAAAATCCGGAACGGCCTTGCCATCTTGGAGGATTCGGACTTCTTCACCGGACAGACCAAAATGCTCCGCCGCAACTTGCTTCAGCTGACCTACCGTCTCCGTGCCGGGTCGAGACAACCTGAAAGACTTGCCAGAGACCAAGGACACACAAAGCTCGATGTCAACTGGCGCCTCTTCATCGGGAGCGAGGGTTGCAGCGGAGAAGTCCATTTTTTCGTCTGCGGCCATTGCTTCTGCGTGCGACGCACCAGTTACGGATACTGTCAGGTCTTCAACGAAGAGACATCATGGGAAACCTAAAGCTCGTCTCAGAAACTGTTCGGAAACAACGGGTCCCTGAGCTTGGGTAACGGTAATTCTGTATCAATGCAAGTTGACCTCGACACCTGACTCTGGAGCCAAAATCCACAGCGCAAAAGGGTCGTTACGTCGTTCGGCGCCCGCCTGCGACTAGCGAAGTACTGAAATTCAGCGGCTACATGCAGCTGAGGGGCTCTTGACGGCATGTAGTACAATCTAGAACCATATGCCATGTACGATACAAAGCACATACTACAACATACATATGTGCATCGATAGGGGGAGAGAGAGAGAGAGAGATTGAGTGAGCAAGAGAGAGAGAGAGAGAGAGAGAGAGACAGAGACAGAGACAGAGAGACAGAGACAGAGAGAGAGAGAGAGAGAGAAAGACAGAGAGAGAGAAAGAGAGAGAGAGAGAGAGTGAGATTTCTGGTTCCGATGTGAGTCCCTTCCCACCCGGAGATGGTTCTCTAGGGTTTAGGGTTTAGGGGTTAGGGTTTAGGGTTTAGGGTTTAGGGTTTAGGGTTTAGGGTTTGGGGTTTGGGGTTTGGGGTTTAGGGTTTTAGGGTTAGGGTTTCGGGTTTAGGGTGTAGGGGCTCTTTTTAGGGTGCAAAAGCTCATTCCAAGCTGGTTGACCCTATAAAAATGTTCTTTTTGCATCCCCTTGTGGGGGGCTATGCGGAAAGACTGCCCTTTTTGCCCAACACAACTGTCAACGTGCCCCGAGCCTACCTGCAAAGGTCGAAACCCACAACCACCAAGTCCCCAAACCCGCAACCAGGCCTTTTGCACGCGAGCGGTCGAGGGCGCCGACCTGAAGCAGGACCCGCAGCTTCCTAGTCTCTCGGTATGTTTTGTTCAATCGGGTTCAGGGTTTGGGGGTGGCTTCACACTCCTCTGCTCAAGGGCTGTTGCGTTTCGTTTGGTGCTGCCATGCTCCTAGCCCACTGCAACTGCACGGTCCACTGGTGCCAGGCAGCTCTGCCTGCTCTGATGAAGGGGCAGCGTCCCAGAATCAGACTGCTCGTCGGTCTTTTCACCGACCTTTTACCATCTTTTCAGCCTTGAATATTAAGAATGCTGAACCCCATGCGGCCTCTGCTGCGAGCCCGGCCCATCGCGCGAGGCGGGTCGCGCGTGGCCTTTGCTGGGAACACTTTGGATCTTTTTTTCCTTGGGGCTCGAACTACGGTGACCTATTATGGGTACAGCAGTGCCATGGGGCCCGCATTTTCACATACCACGTTTCTTGCCCACATGCTTCGTAGTCCTCATGGACCCGTCTACATGACACATCATGGCGCAACATTCTCCTTCCAAAGCTTCTACAACTCTTGGACCAATGTGGGCATTTCCCCAAATAGGAGCCCCCCTTTTCTACCCCAAATGGAATAGGATCCCCTTAAAGGGACCCCAAAAAAATCCCATGTTACGAGCACAGCAGGTTTTGAGGCTCCAGGCCTGAAGAGTTCATCGACTCTTCCCCAAGGTTCCCCCAACACTCCCCACTACTCCCTACGGCTCCCCTGAGCCTGGTGCCTACCCCCCATGACCTCCCCTTCCCTTAAGAACCCTAAACCCTAAACCCTAAACCCTAAACCCTAAATAATACGAAAATAGGGGGGTTACATCATTCTGTAGACCCCAAACCACAGCCCGACGGGGAAGGCGAGTGGCTCTCAAGGCTGGTGACGCTCACACGCCGAACTCCCGGCCCACCTCGACAGAGTCTACTTGGAGGTTCATGAGGGTAGTTAGAAGTAGGGTGTATATTTCTTGTACCCCCAAAAGGACACCAGGTATATACACTCACCAATATTAAAAAGGAACCTTATATACACTCACCAAAAAACAGAAATATAAACCCTGCTTCAGTTAGAAGTAGGGTTAGAGGTACCCTAGATGGGGTTAGAAGTACAAATTACCATCCTTGGAACCCTACGTAGAGCTACCCATGAACCTCCAAGCACACTCCCACGTTCTAGGACTCTTGTTGCTTCGATGTCGGAAACCCCTTCATGTGCCTTCGGGCTTTGTCGGAATTGTGCTTCGACGCGCTGGGTTTTGGGGCCCCCTCCTTCAAAGGACAGCACTCCACCTAGGCTACAGCGGTTGTGTGGCCTGGGACATGCTTTGCTTCAAATCCTCTGACTTCAGATCGGAACCTTTTTGGTGCCTCACGGGTTGGGCGACGAGCTTGTGGAAAACCACGAGCGGGGATCTTTGCAGGAATCAGGCTTCCGAGATGTTCTGGGAGGCACGGTGCAAATTCCACCTTTGGAAGCTACTACTTGCTTAAGAACCCGGCCAGAAAAGAACAAAGATTGTTCTTATCAGGGCAATATAGGGACTACTAATAACTACTCCTTCCATATCTTTTGAGGGGGTTCTTAAGCAGTAGGAAGCCAGGGAAGGCAAGACTCAGCAGGCTCAGCCGTCGTACTCGCCCTCCTCTTCGTCAAACTCGCCCTCCTCCTCCGCCGTGGCGTCCTGGTACTGCTGGTACTCAGAGACGAGGTCATTCATGTTCGACTCCGCCTCCGTGAACTCCATCTCATCCATGCCTCCGTTAGTGGCATGGACCTCTAAGACATCTAAACCCCAACAACAAACCTCCGGAAACCTTTATGCGAAGTTCCGGGCCTTCGCCGGTGTACCAGTGCAAGAAGGCCTTGCGGCGGAACATGGCCGTGAAGTACTCGGCCACGCGCTTGAACATCTCCTGGATGGCCGTGGAGTTTCCGGCGAAGGCCACCGCCATCTTGAGCCCCTGTTCAGGGATCCAGCATCACAGACACATGAGCCCCTTCTATTCCACACCCACATGCACACCCTACTTCTGCTCATCGGTGCCTTGGGCGGGATGTCGCAGACAGACGCCTTAATGTTGTTGGGAATCCACTCCTCAGAAGTTGCACAAGCTCGCACACGTGCTCTCAGGAGCTCGGGGACCATGCATGCCCCTAAACCCTAAACCCTAAACCCCAAGCCTCTCTCATAGGCAGGCAAAGGATCCACAAAGTAGGAGGAGTTCTTGTTTTGGACGTTCAGCATCTGCTCATCTACCTCAAGGACTCATGCTGCTCTCATCTGCCTGTAGCTATGTTAGCTATGTGTGTGGAAGCACGACCCTGTCAAGAACATGCCATATCATCGCCGCCCCTTCTCATTCTTGCAACTTTGCATGGGAGAGCCTCTTTGGTCGACATACGCCCTCGGAAGAGCGCCGCGGCCGTCAAGTAGCGCCCATGGCGAGGATCCGCTGCGCACATCATGTTCTTCGCATCGAACCTGGTCGCTGGGAAGCAACAGCAAAACCCTAAACATGCCTTTGAACCAGACTCCCGAAACATTCCCTTTTTGCATCAAGCCCTCAACCCCAAATTTCGTTGATTCGTCCGTTAACAACCTTCCGCGAAAAAGTGCCAGGGGCGCCGAGGAGCATTTGTTGAGTCAACTCAGGCACCGTCAAGGCACGGTACTGCTGCGAGCCACGGGAGGTCAACGGGGCGAAGCCGGTCATGAAGAAGTGCAGGCGCGGGAAGGGCACCAGGTTCACAGCAATCCTGGGCTTGTTTTGCGAAAGGGGGTGGGGGAGGATGCTCCCTAGGATGCTGCAGGATTTGCGCAGGCTTTCTCGCGCTCATGGGTCTAGAAGTGGGTAGCCGAGAGGCTTGCGCAAGTCGCAGTTCAGCTGGCCGGGGAAGCGGAGGCAGCAGGTCACGCCGCTCATGGCAGCGGAGACCAGGTGGTTGAGGTCGCCATACGTGGGTGTGGTCAACTTGAGAGTTCCTGGTGCACATCCCGACTCCTCTAAAAATGGTGTACATGCAGGCATATGTGAAGAGTGCATGAGGGCTACACGCAACTGCTGCCACACATGGCGGCCGAGGATCGGAAGCAGATATCATACAGGGCCTCGTTGTCCAACAAGAAGGACTCATCAGAGTTCTCCACCAGCTGGTGGAAGCTCAACACCGCATTGTACGGTTCGACCACGGTGTCGGACACCTTTGGCGAAGGGATCACGGAGAAGGTCTCCATGATACGATCAGGGTACCTGAGTGTGTAAATCTTCAGGGTGCCGGAGTGAGATAGTTTGGGTGGCTTGACAACTTGCATGGCACAGAAGCAAAGACATCAAAGCAAATGCAGCTTGGCGTCTCCTCACGCACCTTGGAGATGAGAAGCGTGCCCATTCCTGCACCAGTGCCGCCGCCAAGGGAGTGGCAAAGCTGGAAGCCTTGAAGGCAATCACATCCCTCAGCCTGCACAACGAAGGAAGAATGTGCGATTTTTGCGACTTGCTCGCAAAAGACAGGCAAGAACGGTGACAGCACGGAAGAATGTCACAAACAAATATGGTCCAACAGGGTCTCGTCTGTAGGTTCTTGCACTTCGCGCTTTCACTGTGAGTAGGGTGGACTGTGTATGGCCGCGGCGTTTCATCCTCACTTCTTCCGACTCTCATGCAGATGTCAGGGGCTCACCTCACCCTCCCTCCCGAACTCGGGATGCGCCCCGCGAACACGCGGCTCTCAAGCCTAGCAGCCTGGCTGATCCACGGCACGGTGAGTGTAGCACCACCCCCCGAAACAAAGGCAACCCTGCAAGACGAGGTGGTAGGGGCCTTAGCTTGTCCCCCGGTGCAACTCGCGCGCCCCTGTGCCAAGTTCCTGGGAGCTTGCCCCCTACACCCATTTCCTTTTTTTACTTTTTTTCATGTTCTCGACTGATTTATGTATGTATGCTTTTGTCATTGCTTCATTTGTTGCTTTCACTCTGAACGAAGATAAATATGTTTAATCCACATCGCTCTGTTGGTCACCCCTTCTTCACTGATTTTGTTTTTTCGTTGTGTCTGTCTGTCTGCCTCTGACTGACTGACTGACTGACTGACTGACTGACTGACTGACTGACTGACTGACTGACTGACTCTCTCTCTCTCTGTCTTACCGCCGTGTCTTCCGCGTCACTTATCATCCTCTCTCTCCCGGGGCTCTGTGATGTGGCTACCTCTTTGCGCACGACATCAAGGACCGAGTCGATCAACTCGGCACCCTCCGTGTAGTGGCCCTGACGGCATCGGCAACATAGCTACACAACCTCCACGCACTGCAACACTAGCTACCGCGTCGGGAACACAAAGCGAATCACACGCGCTAGCCCACGTGATGTGGCCTTGGCCCAATTATTCCCTACATCATCATGTGATGTGGCCTTGGCCCAATTATTCCCTGCGCCGGTTTGACCAAACACAAAGTTGTCCGGACGGAAGAGCTGACCGAAAGGCCCAGCTCGAACACTGTCCATGGTTCCTGGCGACTTCACAGACGGAGACTACATCTCTCCTGAGACTCATTTGCATTGTATTGTATCAGTGCGCCTATGACAAAAACAAGCACGTGGACATGCCGCAACCCATCCTGGTTCCAAGTCCATTAGAATCGCACGAGGCACGTAGCGGCCACCAGTCGCCTCGTGGAACATTGTCTGGTTAGGGCTTAAGGCTTAGGGTTTAGGGTTATTCGGTGTGGATGACAACTGCAGACAACCAAGCTCCGTAGAGGGCACTTGAGGAAGAAGAAGGGTGGGAGAGCAAAGCTCAGTACCAACTGGCCTCGTTGAAATAGACGTTGATGCCTGCAACGAGTGGACCACACCCTGCTAAAGCAAGTGCTGCCTACTGATGTAGCTTAGGAAAAAGGAAACTCGGACGAGACACCGTCAATACTTCGCATGAGACGTGAAACACGTAATGCACAGCTAGCTGCGCTCAAGCTGGAGATCGGAGTCGCCATGGTATGTTCCGGTTGGGTCAATGCCGTGCTCATCAGCAATGACCTGTCGGCTCAGCTCCAACCCTCAAGCTCTCGGCCCTCAACAGCATCTCGAGCTGCAGATGAACGTGCAACCTCGACGAGGGTGGCCCCTAAACGCATGAACTTCCATGCCAGCTCGGTGGCATTGGGATGCGGCCCCTGAACTCTTAAGCTTTCCGACAAAGCTAGTCTACCACCCGATCCCCAAGCTCTGCAATCACCTCCCAGAACTTCGCTCCGATCTGGTTGCCGCACCTCAGTCTGCAAGGCATGGAATGTCAAGTCTCCCTCGCAGCTCAGCCTACCCCGTACCATGTATCACAAGCCTACCTGGCACTTGAAGCTAGCACCACTGACGGCTGCCGCTGCTGCTTTGCTACCACTTCGATGGCTTCGACGACTCCGACGGCAGCAGCAACGAATGCAAATTACCCGAATACCACCACTGCCGCTCTCTCTGCGACCCCCTTCAACTGCCACTGCCAGTTTCCGAGCCAAAGGACTGGCCTCCCTGGACGTGCACGAGCTCACGCATGGCGGGAAAGCGAAGAAAAGAAGGGAAAAGCTGGTGAAAGTGCTGACAGCTGCGAGCTTGTAACGCAAACATCAATCAATATCCAACATATGTACTGCCGCGGCAGCGAGTTCGAGGAGGGCGTTGCTGCCTAGCCGGGGTGGATAAGCGGATACAATCAAGGGGATGGGTGGATATGCTGCTGCGTATGTATGTGGAGCATGTGTGTGTAGAAACACACACATATACCTACGCAAGTTTTTTGGGTAAGTAAGGCCGAGCAACGCCCGGCAAGAGGTGAACACACAATGGTACTCCCCTTGGGCATACTGCAGACCTATACAGCCAAGAACTCAGTAACCTGAAAATGCTCCTGAGAAACACCGAGACGCCCTGAGACCAAACACCCTACAAACTTCTGAAAACGGAAAGCTAAGAAGTTGCTTGCTCTGGCTCTGCACAAGAGCCACACGTCCACCCCCCCCCCAACCCCAAGCCCAAACCAAACCTCCCAAAGGGTCTTTGCAGGACAAAGTCAAGCTCCGGGCCCGGGCCACTCCGAGAACCTGGACCTGGGAGTGCACCTAATGTCTTGTTTTGGGGGAGGGGGGCTTAGGGTGCAGGATGTCCGATGATGTCCGTAGCGTTTGGGGCTCAAGGTTGAGCTGAGCTTGTGTTTGGCCTTTTCGCAGCAGTAACCCATGCAAAAAGGAAAGTGCTAGAATCTGCTAGAATTGAGACCCAATGACTAAGGCGGCTATTTCCCGGCACAGGGGAACTCAGACATTGAAATCGGCCTACTACGCCTGTAGGGTTTAGGGTTGGGTTTAGGGTTTCACTCGAGCGTTTCGGAGTGCGTGTGGCCTAGATGGGCCCAGCGAGGAGCAAGAAGTCAACCACAGGCCGCGACTTTTCCGACCCACGCATCGCACGACTGCCCAACCCGACAGCAAACAACCCACACAGACAGGGCGGCCAAAACCGTGATCATGTCTTTGAGCTAAGAGCAACCACACACACTATCACCTGCCCCGAACCTGAACCCTGGTACGGCATATCATGCTACGGCAACTTCCCGAGATGTGTTCTTCCTTTGAAGACGATGCTGGCTCAAGGCCCTCTCCATGGAGTCCGCTGTCTACAGGAAAATCCCCGCAGACCCGCCACACAAGGGCTACATCGGCGTGCGAAGGCGCTTGCGGCGTGGGGCCCAGATTCCCTACGTTCCAGCATCATCTGCTGTTTGCTTGAGAAGCCGAAAAAGAAAAGATGTGAGAATCCCTACATCATTGCCCTTATCAGGAAGAATGTGCTTAATTTTGGGGGGGTCTTAAGCAAACAGTAGTCATCTGCATCCTCAAACGGCTAGGCTTTGAGCTCTTCTGCGCGTCTTCGCAGCCCTTGTGCGCGCGGGTCGCCCCAGCATCGTGCTCATGAAACTCGTTAGCACTTCGACGTCACATTGTTATCCGACCCCACCCGGCTCCATGATGAAACGCAACCCACATTTATAGGACCTTGAGTCTGCACATTGCAAAGAAATTGCTCCATACAACCCTGCTGAAATGCTACGGCGGTGAGCTTGTTCCAGACTCCAGGGACGCGTGGAACGCCAGTGCCTGCATGCGCTGCGGCGATGGGCTCGGCAGGCGGCGTGGCAGCCCTGCAGGGTGCTCAGAGACAAACCCAAGGCTTCGGGAAAGCTGCTGCAGCCTTTTCGGGCACCGGGCACCTGGTCAGCACCTCAAGCTTTCAAGTGAAGTAGATATTGAGATAGCTGTATCATACACAAGGCAAGGACCCCTTAAGCTAATGAGCCATGTGCGGATTAACTGGTGGGATGGACCTCTGTCGGTGGGCCTCACCACCACACTTCTGCAAAGCGCTGATGCTGGAGTTTTGATTTGGTTGAGCTGCATGATGCGACTGTTCCAAGCTCACACCAGCCACTGCCAGAATATCGATGACCGTGTCTCAACCTTAAACCCAAAGCCCGAAGCCTTCAGTGCACCCAAGCCGGCCTGAAATCTTGACTCCGGCGCGCGTCTTGAATCTCAGGAGCACTTCAGTCTGTGAGATTGGGCGAAGGATTCTCGCAGGGCTCAGGGTTTGGGTGTAGGAGCTGGGGTTTGCATTTTCTTGCACTCCTCCCCCCCCCTGAAGGGGCACTGCCTATACTCGCAACCCTTACGTTTGCCCACCCGAATGAACCTCCAAGTAGGGTTGAGGGTTCCTACCCCTAACCCTAAACCCTAAACCCTTTTGCCTAAACCCTAAACCCTCTAAACCCTAAACCCCCTAAACCCTAAACCCTAAACCCTAAACCCTAAACCCTGAACCCTAAACCCTAAACCCTAAACCCCGGCATCCTGCGAAGCCGAAGTGCCTGGAGAGCGCTACGTACACCTGCGCGGGCTCGAAGGCCCTGGACAGATCCTGACAGCGCGGCATCGCAGTCAGGTTTGGGGTTTAGGGTTTAGGGTTTAGGGTTTAGGGTTTAGGGTTTAGGGTTTAGGGTTTAGGGTTTAGGGTTTAGGGTTTAGGGTTTAGGGTTTAGGGTTTAGGGTTTAGGGTTTAGGGTTTAGGGTTTAGGGTTTAGGGTTTAGGGTTTAGGGTTTAGGGTAGGGTTTAGGGTTTAGGGTTTAGGGTTAGGGTAGGGTTTAGGGTTTAGGGTTTAGGGTTTAGGGTTTAGGGTTTAGGGTTTAGGGTTTAGGGTTTAGGGTTTAGGGTTTAGGGTTTAGGGTTTAGGGTTTAGGGTTTAGGTTCAGCATCTCAAGTTCGAGCATTTACTAGGCCAGCAGTGTGTCTAGGCAACGGAAAAAAACCACCCGCCCAAAGAATCCCATACCATTAAGAAAACAGAAGGTTCAGTATTTTCTCTTCGGATGCACCAATACACAAAACAATCACGACGTAGTACCAAGCACTTAACTGGTTTAGGGTTTCAGGGCCTCAAGGCCTGGTGTTTAGGGTTTCAAGGCCTCACGGCCTAGTGTTTAGGGTTTCAGGGCCTCAAAGCCTGATGTTTAGGGTTACGAGGCCTCACAGCCTGGTGTTTAGGGTTTCAAGGCCTCAAGGCCTGACGTTTAGGGTTTCAGGGCCTCCAGGTCTGGTGTTTAGGGTTTCAAGGCCTCACGGCCTGGTGTTTCGGGTTTCAGGGCCTCAAGGCCTGGTGTTTAGGGTTTCACGGCCACATGGCCTAGGGTTTCAGGGCCTCACAGCCTGGTGTTGAGGGTTTCAGGGCCTCACGGCCTGGTGTTTAGGGTTTCAGGGCCTCAAAGCCTGGTGTTTAGAATTTCACGGGTTTATGGATTGCCGTTTAGGGTTTCAGTGCCTCAAGGCCTGGGTTTTAGGGCTTCAGGGCCTCAATGCCTGGAGTTTAGGGTTTCAAGGCCCAGGCCTTGAGGCCGTGAGGCCAGGAAACCCTATACACCTTGTTTCCCTAAACACCAGGCCTTGAGGCCCTCGAACCCTAAACACGAGGCCGTGAGGCCTTGAGGCCCTGAAACCCTACACACTAGGCCGTGAGGCCTTGAAAATCTAAATATCAGGCCTTCAGGCCCTGAAACCCTAAACACCAGGCCGTGAGGCCCTGAAACCCTAAACACCAGGCCGTGCTAAACATCAGGCCTTGAGACCCTGAAACCCTAAACACCAGGCCGTGAGGCCTTGAAACCCTAAACACCAGGCCTTGAGGCCCTGAAACCCTAAACACCAGGTCGTGAGGCCTTGAAACCCTACATGAAACCCTAAACACCAGGCCGTGAGGAATTGAAACCCTAAACACCAGACCTTGAGGTCCTAAAACCCTAAACACAAGGCCGTGAGCTTGAAATAGCTTGAAACCCTAAACGCCAGGCCTTGAGGCCCTGAAACCCTAAACACCAGGCCGTGAGGCCTTGAAACCCTAGGCCATGTGGCCGTGAGGCCCTGAAACCCTAAACACCAGGCCTTGAGGCCCTGAAACCCTAAACACCAGGCTGTGAGGCCTTGAAACCCTAAACGCCAGGTGCTGAACAATGGGGGGTCAAAGGGGTCAGAGGGGCCGAAATGGATCAAAACGCAAAATTCGTGCTGAACAATGGGGGGCCAAATGGGTCAGACGGGTCAAAACGCCAAATTCGTGCTGAACAATGGGGGGCCAAATGGGTCAGACGGGTCAAAACGTCAAATTCGTGCTGAACAATGGGGGTCGAAACGCAAAATTCGTGTTTAACATTTTGGTTATATGGTAGAGAGGTTTAGGGTTTAGGGTTTAGGGTTTAGGGTTTAGGGTTTCGGGTTTAGGGTTTAGGGTTTAGGGCTTCGGGTTTCGGGCTTAGGGTTTTGGGTTTAGGGTTCTTCACCCCTGAGTTTGGGCTTGGGTTTGGGTTTGGGCTTCCTGCACTTCGTTCCCTCAATGCACGCAGTAGCCAGCTTTGGCATGAGTGTAACCTAAACCTGAGGGCCAACTCTGGCGCGGGGAGGGGGCGCTGTCAGTTTCGGGTAAACCCTAAACACACACACTCTCTCTCTCTCTCACTCGCACTGAGAGTGCCTAATCCCTAACACTCTGAACCCTAAGTAACCATTAACCCCAAAACCCTAAACAATTTCTGTTTAGGGTCACAGGTTCAGATGAATCAACGAGGAAGGCTGAAGCTTAAGGGAGGTTCTCTCACTGAGATTAGGGTTTTCTTTTGCGACCCAACAAGCCACAGCACGGCGTTTAGGGTTTAGGGTGCAGGGTTTAAGGTTCCCAAGTTGCCAGAAAAAGTAGGGTCCCCCCCCCCCAACCCGCAAACAAAAAATGCCACAAATAGGGAGGGGGGGAGGGAGGGGGGTGATGAATTTGGTTTGTTGTGTGGTGGGACCTGCCTGGGACCCTCTGGGACCCGTCCTGGGACCCACCTCTTGGGACCCCTGACCTTTCCTGCGACCTCCTCCCCTTTTTTTGAGGCCTTTCCCAGAAACCCTCTTTCCTCCTTTCCTGTCCGTGGGCCGGCCCGGCTGCCGAGGCGGCGCATGCAAGCGTTTACAAT